AATGGGATTGCAGATTCAAGAAGTTGCCATTTAAAGTATATGGCCTGAGCATGTTTATTTTAAAGATTTTTCAAAAATATAAGTTTATTAAATGTATCTAATTTATTAAATATAGATTTGTATATGTGTGTGTATATATATATATACAGGGCTCCAGACTAACTTTTTTTACTAGGAGCGCTGTTGCCCCTAACTGAAAATTTTAGGAGCGCAAGCAAAAAATTTAGGGGCACACCTTAAATAAGCTTGCAATGCAATTATTCAAATTTCCCAAAATAATAATTTCTTTAATAATAAATAGACTTAACATTATGATATGCTGTTTTATTTTAACTTCACAGGGCTCCAGACCCAAAGTTGAGGGCGGCATCACCTCAAATGAGAACTCACAGTTCTATAAAAAAAAAAAATAAAAAAAAAATCTGGTAGCACTGGGGCTAACAATAAATCACTAAGCTTAATTTAGGGTGTAGATGAAATTAACTTTAGTTTTTATCATTTATAATGTCTTAATATTAATTAATAAAAGTAGTGAAAATATGTATATGGAGTGAAAATAGCCAATAAACATCCTACTGTTTACAATGGTATTATTATTATTATTATTATTTTAAGTGTTTAAATAAGAGTTTTCCAACATCTTAAAATTTTTCGTTTAAGGACAATCTTTAAAGGATGAACAAAAAATGTGTTGGTATGGTAATCACATAAAAAATACAAAAAATTAAAACATTTATATATGATATTATTGAAGTGCTGGGAAAGGATGTGTAGTAGGCTACTTACACATTATCATATTTATGGTAAGAGTTAACTTGCCTAAATTCATGGTTCTGTTAGGCTGATTTGTGGACTGAAAGCCTTCTATAAGTGTTTTTCCTGGTTTCCACGTCAGCGCTGTTTGATCTGATATGGTTTATAACAGAACTCTGCGCCGAATCGGAGTGTTTCTCACTGGATCTCGTTGTGTTGATGTTATTAATTGTGAGGCGAATTCAATGGATTTCTTCACTGGTTCTCCTAGTAACAGTGTTGCGTGAGCGAGATCGGCCCGCGACGGGCAAGTTCGGGGCTTTATTTTGTCAATGGTTCGGATCGCTGCTGCAGCTCCACGGTCCTAATCATACATGAGTGGCGTATTTTCGTTCCACTTTCATTTTGTTTGCATTCGCTGCTAGGTAACGTCACGACTAAAGAGTCGATAGATCGCTGATTGCTCAGACGCACATCAGTTTGTGATATTTGTTTCCGTCTCCTTCCCACAAACGTTTACGCGCGCTATTCTTGTCACGGATTCATTGACGCGCCTCTTCCACGCTTTACCATGCGTTTAACGTGTGGCAAATTTACTGGTCGCACATGTGCGACTGGATGTAAAATTCAGTCGCACACTCTCAATTTTTGGTCGCAAAATGCAACCATTTGGTCGCAGTCTGGAGCCCTGATATATATATATATATAAATGAAGAGTTCAGATGCAAAAGCTACTAAATGCCATTTGAAATGTTCTTCTTTAATGATGATTTTTGTCAAACTTGTATATTTAAAGCCACAATATGTAATTTTTCTGCTTTAAAAATAGCAAAAATAACTTTATCTATGTTATATATTTCTATTAGATGTGTACTTACATTATCCCGACAGTTTCCACCAACTTTCAAATACGGAGAAACTTATAGTTTAATTCGAAGACACGGGACGTTTCTTTATTTCCGTTTCGTCGCCCGTGTATGGCGTCATATAACCTTTGACTCCTCTATTTTCTCTAACTTCCTTGCGGAAACCGCCAAACACAAAGGGGAACACTGGACTACCGCCAATAAAGCAAAGAAAATGACGAAGAAAAAAAAGTAGTACGTATTTTTATGTGTGTAAATCACGTGCCCGCTCACGAGCGCTCACTCTTAACAGACACACTGTCCCCGGTGCTGCTCACGCATAAAGCGCTCCCCGTTCACAGTAACAGTGTCGTCTCATTCAAATCAGCCAACTGTTGCTGTTAGCGAGCCGCGCACATTGAATACTCATCATGAGTCAGGCTGCGAATGTACGTGCCCGCTTCAGCGCGCTCATGCTTACTAAATAAACGCCTCACCTCCGGCGCCGCGCACTCACTACATTCTCTTTAGCCTTTAGCACATAGTGGATGCATAACGCGAACCCAGTCAAACGTTTGACTGCAGTATCTTATGTGCTTTATAATCCGGTGCGCCCTATATATGAAAAATGTTCTAAAATAGTTCATTCATTGAAGGAGCGTAATATAAATACTTATATTCGTCTGTATTGTTGTTATGGACCACGATTACGCTTTGCCTGCACGTTCTGCTGCTACAGCCAGCTCATTAGCTAAAGCTCAAACGTACGGGTGAAAAATATAACCCGAGAAGGGTTTGGGAAAGGAGAAGCATGACACAGGTAAACATTGGCGTTGCATTTAAAGCTTCTTGACAAGCTAAATCTACAGAGAGATGCCGTATATCCGTATATTTTGTGAACCGATGATGTCATGAGCTGAGCTGGTTGTCATTGACAGCGACAGCAACTCCCGTGAGCCCACGCTCTTTCCCGACCTCATCAAAGTACGTCTTTTGTTATTATTTTAAACGAGTGACCCCTGGTGGCCAAAAATCGCATACTGTACGTTTAAGTTCAGTAATTTCACTTAAATAACAATTAATAGGTAATTATCATTGCCATTTAAGTGAAATCACTGAACTTAAATATACAAGCTTGATAAAAATGGTCATTCTAGAAAAAAATTTCAAATGGCATTTAGAGGCTTTTGCATCTGAACTCTTCATATATAGGCAAGGCAAGTTTATTTATATAGCACATTTCATACACAGTGGCAATTCAAAGTGCTTTACATGGAAGAAATTAAAATAATCGAAAGAAATCAGAATAATTAAAACAGTTTAGAATTAAAAAAGTCATAATAATAAAAATAAAATACAGTAAATAAAACAATTTAGAATCAAAAATAAAATGAAGTACAGTAACAGTCAGATGAACAGTGGCACAGTGCTCATTCAGTAAATGCAATCAATATAAATAAAAACAGTTAAGAGTAAAAATAAAATAAAGTAATACCCCTATCTAAGATGGAAGAGATTGAGCTGGTGCAACTGGGCCTCCAGCCCAGGGACCTAGAGCGTCGTACGTACTCTGCTGGGGTGGTGCTACACCAGTAATGCCCAGCGGGCCCCCACAGAGCACTTTTCTACCCTTAACAACGCTCTCAGCGACTTCTTATACTCTTAGCAGTATAAGTAACTTACTTCTTCACTCGCCTCATCGGAGTGAAGACTCTCCCGCTCTCCATCAAAATCTCTTCCAGTATACCCCTATCTGAGATGGAAGAGATTGGGCTGGTTTACGGTGCAACTCGACCTCCAGCCCAGGGACGTACTCTGCTGGGGTGGTGCGACACCAGTAGTGCCCGGCGGGGCCCCCACAGAGCACGTTTCTGCTGCCATTACCCTTAACGACTCTCTCAGCAACAGTTTAAGCAATTTACTTCTTCCCTCGCCTCATCGGAGTGAAGACTCTCCCGTTCTCCATCAAAATCTCTTCCAGTCAGAGCAGTAGCAGTATTAAAGCAGTTAAAGCAGTACAGTAAAAAGTAAAAACAGTCAGATGTACAGTGGCACAGTGCTCATTCAGTAAATGCATTGCTAAAGAGATGTGCTTTGAGTCTGGATTTGAGTGTGAATACTGTAGGAGCACACCTGATCTCTTCTGGAAGCTGGTTCCTGCTGCGGCTGGCATAATAGCTAAAAGCAGACTCTCCATGCTTAGAGTGAACCCTTGGTATTTTTAGCTGATGTGATCCTAGTGATCTGAGTGATATGTTGGGTTTATATTCAGTGAGCATATCTGCAATATATTGAGGTCCTAACCCATTGAATGATTTATATACAAGTAATAATACTTTAAAATCAATCCTAAATTTAACTGGGAGCCAGTGTAAAGACCTGAGGACTGGTGTGATGTGTTCATATTTCCTGGTCCTGCTCAGAATCGTGGCAGCAGCGTTCTGTATGAGCTGCAACTGTCTTATGGTCTTTTTGGGAAGGCCAGTGAGGAGGCCATTACAGTAATCCACCCTGCTGGTGATGAAAGCATGCACAAGTTTCTCTAAGTCTTGACTGGAAACAAAGCATCTAATTCCTGAAATATTTTTCAGATGATAGTATGCTGATTTAGTTATTGCTTTGACATGACTACTGAAACTAAGGTCTGATTCTAGAGACACACCAAGATTCCTGACTTGATTTTTAGTTGTTAGACCCCTAGTGTCGAGGTATGCATTCACCTCAAGAACTTCATCTATATATATATATATATATATACACAGTGGGTATGGAAAGTATTCAGACCCCCTTAAATTTGTTCCCTCATTATTGTACACACAGCACCCCATATTGACAGAAAAACACAGAATTGTTGACATTTTTGCACATTTATTTAAAAAAAAAACTGAAATATCACATGGTCCTAAGTATTCAGACCCTTTGCTATGACACGCATATATTTAACTCAGGTGTTGTCTTTCTTTTGATCATCCTTGAGATGGTTCTACACCTTCATTTGAGTCCAGCTGTGTTTGATTATACTGATTGGACTTGATTAGGAAAGCCACTTGATTAGGAAAGCCTTCCCGTGGGCTCACCACCTGCAGGAGGGAGCCGTAAGGGGCCGGTGCAGAGAGGATTGGGCGGCAGTTGAAGGCAGGGGCCTCTGCGACCCGATCCCTGGACACGGAATCTAGCCTTAGAGACGTGGAACGTCACCTACTGGCGGGGAAGGAGCCCGAGATTGTGCGTGAGGTTGAGAGGTTCCGACTAGAGATAGTTGGGATCACCTCTACGCATGGCTTGGGCTCTGGAACCACACTCCTTGAGAGAGGATGGACTCTTCACCACTCTGGAGTTGCCCATGGTGAGAGGCGGCGGGCTGGTGTGGGTTTGCTTATAGCCCCCCAGCTCAGTCGCCATATGTTGGAGTTTACCCCGGTGAACGAGAGGGTCGTTTCCCTGCGCCTACAGGTCGGGGATAGGTCTCTCACTGTCGTGTGTGCCTATGGGCCAAACGGCAGTGCAGAGTACCCGGCCTTCTTGGGGTCTCTGGGAGGAGGGCTGGAAAGTGCCCCGACTGGGGACTCTGTTGTTCTACTGGGGGACTTCAACACTCACGTGGGCAACGACAGTGACCCCTGGAGGGGCGTGATTGGAAGGAACGGCCCCCCCCCCGACCTGAACCCGAGTGGTGTTAAGTTATTGGACTTCTGTGCTAGTTACAGTTTGTCCATAACGAATACCATGTTCAAGCATAAGGGTGTCCACCAGTGCACGTGGCACCAGGACACCCTAGGTCGTAGGTCGATGATCGACTTTTTGGTCGTTTCATCTGACCTGCGGTCGTATGTCTTGGACACTCGGGTGAAGAGAGGGGCGGAGCTGTCAACTGATCACCACCTGGTGGTGAGTTGGATCCGATGGCGGGGGAGGAGGCTGGACAGACTCGGCAGACCCAAGCGTACTGTAAGGGTTTGCTGGGAACGTTTGGCCGAATCTCCTGTCAGAAAGATCTTCAACTCTCACCTCCGGTAAAGCTACGACCAGATCCCGAGGGAGGCTGGAGATATTGAGTCTGAGTGGACCATGTTCTCCACCTCCATTGTCGAAGCGGCTGCTCGGAGCTGTGGCCGTAAGGTGTCTGGTGCCTGTCGAGGACCAGAAGTAAAGGATGCTATCAAGCTGAAGGAGTCCTATCGGGCCTGGTTGGCTCGTGAGACTCCGGAGGCAGCTGACAGGTACCAGCAGGCCAAGCGGACTGCGGCCAGGGTGGTCGTGGAGGCAAAAACTCAGGCCTGGGAGGAGTTCGGTGAGGCCATGGAGAAGGACTATCGGCTGGCCTCGAAGGGATTCTGGCAAACTGTCTGGCGCCTCAGGAGAGGGAAACGGTCCCCTACCAATGCTGTTTACAGTAGGGGTGGGCGGCTGTTGACCTCGACTGGGGATATCGTCTGACGGTGGAAGGAATACTTCGAGGACCTCCTCAATCCCGCCGTCATGTCTTCCATTGGAAGCAGAGGCTGAGGGCTCAGGGGTGGACTCGTACATCACCCTAGCTGAGGTCACCGAGGTAGTCAAGAAACTCCTCGGTGGCAAGGCACCGGGGGTGGATGAGATCCGCCCCGAATACCTCAAGTCTCTGGATGTTGTGGGGCTGTCTTGGTTGACACGCCTCTGCAACAACGCGTGGCGGTCGGGGACAGTGCCTCTGGGATGGCAGACCGGGGTGGTGGTTCCTCTTTTTAAGAAGGGGGACCAGAGGGTGTGTTCAAACTACAGGGAGATCACACTTCTCAGCCTCCCTGGGAAAGTCTATGCCAGGGTACTGGAGAGGAGAATACGGCCGATAGTGGAACCTCGGATTCAGGAGGAACAGTGCGGTTTTCGTCCGGGCCGTGGAACACTGGACCAGCTCTATACTCTCTACAGGGTGCTGGAGGGTTCATGGGAGTTTGCCCAACCAGTCCACATGTGTTTTGTGGATTTGGAGAAGGCATTCAACTGTGTCCCCCGAGGCGGCCTGTGGAGGGTGCTCCGGGAATATGGGGTCCGAGGTCCTTTACTAAGGGCTGTCCGGTCCCTGTATGACCGAAGCAGGAGCTTGGTTCGCATTGCCGGTAGTAAGTCAGACTTCTTCCCGGTGCATGTTGGACTCCGGCAGGGCTGCCCTTTGTCGCCGGTTCTGTTAATAATTTTTACGGACAGAATTTTTTAGGTGCAGCCAGGGGCCGGAGGGTGTCAGGTTTGGGGACTACACGATTTCATCTCTGCTCTTTGCGGATGATGTTGTCGTGTTGGCCCCTTCATACCAGGACCTTCAGCATGCACTGGGACGGTTTGCAGCCGAGTGTGAAGCGGCTGGGATGAAAATCAGCACCTCCAAATCCGAGGCCATGGTCCTTAGCCGGAAAAGGGTGGCTTTCCCACTTCAGGTTGGTGGAGAGATCCTTCCTCAAGTGGAGGAGTTTAAGTATCTTGGGGTTTTGTTCACGAGTGAGGGAAGGATTGAACAGGAGATTGACAAACGGATCGGTGCAGCTTCAGCAGTAAAGCGGTCGATGTACCGGTCTGTTGTGGTGCTCTCACCTATGGTCATGACCGAAAGGACAAGATCCCGGATACAGGCGGCCGAAATGAGCTTTCTCTGCAGGGTGGCTGGGCGGTCCCTTAGAGATAGGGTGAGAAGCTCGGTCACTCGGGAGGAGCTCAGAGTAGAGCCACTGCTTCTCCACATCGAGAGGGGTCAGCTGAGGTGGCTCGGGCATCTGTTCCGGATGCCTCCTGGACGCCTTCCTGGGGAGGTGTTCCGGGTACGTCCCACTGGGTGGAGGCCCCGGGGAAGACCTAGGACACGCTGGAGAGACTATGTCTCCCGGCTGGCCTGGGAACGCCTCTCTATCCCCCCAGAAGAGCTGGAGGAAGTGTCTAGGGAGAGGGAAGTCTGGGCATCTCTGCTTAGACTGCTGCCCCCGCGACCAGGCCCCAGATGAGCGGAAGAAGATGATATGCTAGGAAAGCCACACACCTGTCTATAAATGACCTTTATAGACTCACAGTGCATGTCAGAGCCAGTGAGAATCATGAGGTTCAAAGGAACTGCCTGAAGAGCTCAGAGACTTGTGGCAAGGCACAGATCTGGCCAAGGTTACAAAAAATTCTGCTGCACTTAAGGTTCCTAAGAGCACAGTGGCCTCCATAATCCTTAAATGGAAGAAGTTTGGGACGACCAGAACCGTTCCTAGAGATGGCCGTCTGGCCAAACTGAGCTATCGGGGGAAAAGAGCCTTGGTGAGAGAGGTAAAGAAGAACCCAAAGATCATTGTGGCTGAGCTCCAGAGATGCAGTCGGAAGATGGGAGAAAGTTGAAGTAAGTCAACCATCACTGCAGCAATCCACCAGTCAGGGCTTTATGGCAGAGTGGCCCGACGGAAGCCTATCCTCAGTGCAAGACACATGAAAGCCCGAATGCAGTTTGCTAAAAAACACCTAAAGGACTCCAAGATGGTGATAAATAAGATCCTCTTGTCTGATGAGACCAAGATAGAACTTTTTTGCCTTAATTCTAAGCGGTATGTGTGGAGAAAACCAGGCACTGCTCATTCTCTTCCAGAAATTACTTGTAAGCCTCCTGAGATTCCCTGCGGCCTTTGTTAATTGCTGTGCGCCATTTGGTTCTGTCATTTGCAAGTGCCTCCCAGTTGTCCAGGTTGATGGAGAAAGCCTGAAGATCCCTCTTAATGACGTCTTTAAAACGTAGATGGGGGCGACCATGTTTGTGGGGGGCATTTGCCAGCTCACCATAAATCAAGATTTTTGGAAGGCGAATGTCGTTCATTCGATATATATGCCCTGTCCAACGGAGATGGCGTTAGCGAAGGATGGTGTACAGGTCACTAGAACCAGTTCTCTCAAGTATGGCAGAGTTTGGCAAATGATCCTTCCAGCATACACACCGAGTATGGAACGAAGGCAGCGGAAATGGAAGGCGTTAAGGCGATGTTCGTGCCTCCTGTATGTTGTCCATGTCTCACTTGCATATAGTAAGGTGCTCAATACACATGCATGGTACACACGGACTTTGGGGAGCAATGAGAGGTTCTTGTTGTGCCAGACATGCTTGCTCAATTTTCCAAACATTGTTGATGCCTTCCCAATGCGTATGTCAAGCTCTGCATCAAGGTTATTGTTGTTTGATACTGTGGAACCCAGGTAGGTGAATTTGTCTACCACAGATAGACATGTGTTGTTAATGTATACTGTAGGGTTTAGGGTTGCAGGTTGGGCAAGAATATCTTGATGGGACTAATCTGCAAACCAAACTCTAGACATGCAGCAGCAAAAGATGAGCAGAGTAGTTGTAGATCTGCCTCTGAGTGGGCAACAAAGCATAAAGAACATCAGCATAAAGCAGCTCAAGTACCAGAACATGGCACACTTTAGTCTTCGCCCGCAGTCTGGCCAGATTGAACAGTTTTCCTGAGCTGCGGGTATGTAGAAGGATACCCGAGTCATCAGGGAAGGCACAGCGTAGTAGGTCAGAGAAGAAAATTCAGAAAATGGTAGGAGCAAGGACAAATCACTTGTAGTTGACGGACACATAAAACCATGTCTGCTATGGAGCGGCCATTACGAAATCCTCACTGTTTTCAGCTGCAGGGACAGGACGACCGGTTGCAATCTAGGGAAAGATAAATGCGGCCAAGTACAGGCATATCCTGGACAAATATTTTCCAGAGTGCTCTGGACCTCAGACTGGGCCGAAGGTTCACCTTCCAACAAGACAATGACCCTAAGCACACCGCTAAAATAACGAAGGACTGGCTTCACAAAAACTCTGTGGCTGTTCTTGAATGACCCAGCCAGAGACTTAAACCCGATTGAGCATCTCTGGAGAGACCTGAAAATGGCTGTCCATCAACGTTTACCATCCAACCTGACAGAACGGGAGAGGATCTGCAATGGCAGAGGATACCCAAATCCAGATGTGAAAAACTTGTTGCATCTTTCCCAAAAAGACTCATGGCTGTATTAGATCAAAAGGGTGCTTCTACTAAATACTGAGCAAAGGGTCTGAATACATAGGACCATGTGATATTCCAGTTTTTCTTTTTTAATAAATGTGAAAAAATGTCAGCAGTTCTGTGTTTTTCTGTCAATATGGGGTGCTGTGTGTACAATAATGAGGGGAAAAATGAACTTAAATGATTTTAGCAAATGGCTGCAATATAATAAAGAGTGAACAATTTAAGGGGGTCTGAATACTTTCTCTACCCACTGTATAATCAATTTATTAAAAGGCATCAAATTATCAAAGCAGTTGTCTAATTTCTACTTTTATATCAGGGCTCACTTTCATGTCCTTTCACTTTATTTTTCTCTCTTTGAATTATATTTATGTACTGAAAATTGTTTTTAACAACTTTTTCCTTTCCTGTCAGACCTGATTGAAGAGAGCGAGGAGAGAGAAGAACTGAGTGAAGTGAAGGAGGAGAGAGAAGAACTGATGGAAGTGAAGGAGGAGAGAGAAGTGAAGGAGGAGAGAGAAGAACTGAGAGAAGTGAAGGATGAGAGAGAAGAACTGAGAGAAGTGAAGGAGGAGAGAGAAGAACTGAGAGAAGTGAAGGAGGAGAGAGAAGAACTGATGGAAGTGAAGGAGGAGAGAGAAGTGAAGGAGGAGAGAGAAGAACTGAGAGAAGTGAAGGATGAGAGAGAAGAACTGAGAGAAGTGAAGGAGGAGAGAGAAGAACTGAGTGAAGTGGAGGAGAAACATGTCCAACCTGGAGGAAAACCCTTGAGTCGCTCAAAGACTACAGCGGACCATTTAAAACTGCACGAGAGTATTCATACTGGAGAAAAACCTTACGAGTGTTCACACTGCGACAAGAGATTCAGTCAATCATCAAATCTGAAAACACATGAGAGGATCCACACTGGAGAAAAACCTTACGAGTGTTCACACTGCGACAAGAGATTCAGTCAATTATCAAATCTGAAAACACATGAGATGATCCACACTGGAGAAAAACCTTACAAGTGTTCACACTGTGACAAGACATTCAGTCAATCATCATCTCTGAAAACCCATGAGATGATCCACACTGGAGAAAAACCTTACAAGTGTTCACACTGTGACAAGACATTCAGTCAATCATCATCTCTGAAAACACATGAGAGGATCCACACTGGAGAACAACCTTACAAGTGTTCCCACTGTGACAACAGATTCAGTTACTCATATCTGAAAAGACATGAGAGGATCCACACTGGAGAAAAACCTTACAAATGTTCACACTGTGAAAAGAGATTCAGTCACTCATCACATCTGAAAAGACATGAGAGGATTCACATTGGAGAAAAACCTTACAAGTGTTCACACTGTGACAAGAGATTCAGTCAATCATCATATCTGAAATCACATGAGAGGATCCACACTGGAGAAAAACCTTACAAATGTTCACACTGTGAAAAGAGATTCAGTCACTCATCACATCTGAAAAGACATGAGAGGATTCACATTGGAGAAAAACCTTGCAAGTGTTCACACTGTGACAACAGATTCAGTTACTCATATCTGAAAAGACATGAGAGGATCCACACTGGAGAAAAACCTTACAAGTGTTCACACTGTGACAAGAGATTCAGTCAATCATCACATCTGAAAACACATGAGAGGATTCACATTGGAGAGAAGCCGCATGTATGTCATCAATCTTGAAACAATTTCACATACAAACATTATCTTGATGTTCACATGTACCCCTTTTCCACAAAAAAAGAACTGGTTCGGAACTGGTGCTGGTTCAAAGTTGGTTCGGAGTTGGTTCAACTTGCGAACCGCTTCAGAACCTATTTGTTTTTCCACTGAGAGTGCCCAGGGAACGACGTCGTTACGTCACTGTGTACGTCGCTATACGTCTTAGCTAGAAACGCTTGCAAGTACAACATTACTTTCGGATTATCTCTAACTCGTGTACCAAGAAAGCTTTAAAAACAATGAAAATATGTAAGTCTTTTAATCTTTTCGTTTGATATGTAAACTTTTCTGATAAGTTATGAAGCCCCCTGTCTTGTGTCTTCTTTTCTTTCCATTTATTTGTTCTATATTGTGACTGTTTTCTTCTTTGATTATAATGTCTTCAATAAAAAAATTACAAAAATAGAAACGCACTTGGCTGTGCGATCCTTTATTATGGTCAGAAAATATGTTAAGAACACATCTAAACCCGCCCCAGCCCCCGACGTAAGCATGACGTGGTAAAAGAACGGTTCTAGTCCAGCAAAGAGTTGGTGCCGCTTTGGAACCAGTTCTCCTGGCCGAGAACCGGTTCTTTGGCTGTCGAAACACAAAGAACTGGTTCGCGCGCAGGCACCGGCTCCGAACCGACTCTCAAAATGCTTTGGTGGAAAAGGGTTCATCTTCAACCCTCTTCAACATGTCTCTTCGAGATCTCCTTTTCAGTCCATTTAGTTTAGTTTTCTTTTGTTTTCCCATTTCGTATTCTACTTTGTTCATTTCCACAGACGGGTGAAATGAACTTGGCCTGAATTCAAGGGACTTTAAATCCGCCGTGTCTCCATACACCGGAAGAACCACGGAGAAGGACACCACAACCACGCGCCTTCCTTGCTCAGCAACATAAGAGAACCATTTGTGCTAGTATTCGTTTTATCAAGCTTTCAGAGCATTTAAGATTTGTTCACTCCATTTAGCGTGATTTGATATCTTTGTGTCTCTATCTCAAGGTTCCTTTTTCTGTGATTTTGCCATACTGTTGACCACTTTCTACCTCTTATCTCTCATTTTCTTTCATTGTTTTGTTGCTTTAATCTGTTTTATATACATTAGAGATGGGACGATTACAGGTTTCACTATAAACCACAATAAAATGTACTGACGGTTAGTATTATCGTTTAAAATGTAATTATCATTAAAATTGTGTTTGATTATCGCGATTTTAACAACTCACTATAAATCATGTCGACAGTCTGACGCAGGCACGCGGTTTTTTTTTTTTTTTTCGAGAAGGAATTGCGGAAGGCAGTGACTGTGCTCGGGAAATTTTTCAGCCTTTTAAGAGGACCAAATCTGAGGTGTGGTCATATTTAGGTTTTTACAAAAGTCCAAAAAACTTAATCGAGGATGGTCACCCTGTCTGCAGAACATGCACAAAAAAGTCGCTGTAATAGAAACACTTCAAATCTCCCGATCGTCTTGAGTAACCATCACCCTCTGTTGTAACTTATAGTGAACGCAAGGCAAGTTAACTTTGACCCCTATACCAAAAATACGTCTGGGGGAAAAAATGGGCACAAAATGTTATTATGAGTTAAAATATTTTATCTCACTCACTTGAAATAGACGTGAAGCTTCTGCGAAGAAAAGATTGCAGGAAGTGGCTTTGAGCCAAAGACGAACGAACACGTTCAATTAAGAGTGACATTTAAGAGATAATAATGCAACTTTATATATTTCTTATACCGTATTTTCCGCACTTTAAGGCGCACCGGATTATAAGGCGCACCTTCAATGAATGACCTATTTTAGAACATTTTTCATATATAGGGCGCACCGGATTATAAGGCGCATAAGATACTGCAGTCAAACGTTTGACTGGGTTTGCGTTATGCATCCACTAGATGTGCTAAAGGGAATGTAGCGAGTCCGCGGCAGTTTTCCAATTTTTGTTTATTTTTTCTTTAATTTCATGGCAGCTTATTTTAATGTAATAATGTGAATATGCCTTGTGTCATTGAATAATAAAAAGCTGCTTTGAACCAATATATTCAGAGCCCCCCTGGTCCCACTTTGGCAAAAAAATTAGTTATAGCTATCTTGTGGCCTCAAGATAGTATCTCGTGTAGGGCTGTCGCGGTTATGGAATTTCCCTCGTGGTAATGTTGAGTGGCTCAATAGGGCGTTATGCGGTATTACCGCCATTTATTTATTTAATTTATATGTTTTTGTTGCTATATAAATAAAGTTTACGATGTGGACAAAAACGAGGACATTTTCAGTAACCAATGTAACCGAAACTAAACAGCGTCTACAGTATTTGTGCATTGAAAGACTTTCACTCAGCGCGCATATTGTTATAACAATGGACTTTGAGCGAGTCATTGAACCGTTCATTCAACGAACATGTTTTAAAAAGCTGATTCATTAAAAGAGATGTAAAGAAGCAAGATGTTAATTATTTTTAACATTGAGGTTCAACTTTTCAAGGCTCAGCTGAGCAGCAATGCGTCGCATATGGGCAACGCTGAAGCTAATGCTTCACTTATTAGAGACCCATATCATTGATTCAATACGTGACTCACTGATTTTATTTGCCCTCGGCTTCTTTGTGCTTTGGGATGTTGACCAGCGCTGCTGCTGACACGAATTTATGGGGAAAATACCCGTGAAGAGAACGTTAAAATGATGATGCAACAAATATTTCGCTTCCCTTTGACACGACAAGCTTTTCACGACTTCAAAGACAGACGCAGGTAATTGCACGCGCTCTGCCGATCTCTCTCATTCACTGTCTCTGTGTGAAGCCTGTAGGCTACACATCACCATGATAAACAGTCTTGTTATCATTATGAACTTGTTTAACATTCAATACACATGCATTAAGTTCAAAACAAGTGAATATCGCGGTTGCTGCGGTTACGTGCAATCCTCTGTGGTTGACATGTCAGAAGCGCGGTACTATATTGCGGTTACCGCGACAGCCCTAAACTTGTGGCCTCAAGATACTAACTCGTGGCCTTAAGATAGTAACTCGTGGCCTCAAGATAGTAACTCGTGGCCTCAAGATACTAACTCGTGGCCTCAAGATAGTAACTCGTGGCCTCAAGATACTAACTCGTGGCCTCAAGATAGTAACTCGTGGCCTCAAGATACTATCTCGTGACCTCAAGATACTAATTCGTGACCTCAAGATACTATCTCGTGGCCTCAAGATAGTAACTCGTGGCCTCAAGATAGTAACTCGTGGCCTCAAGATAGTAAATCGTGGCCTCAAGATACTAACTCGTGGCCTCAAGATAGTAACTCGTGGCCTCAAGATACTAACTCGTGGCCTCAAGATAGTAACTCGTGGCCTCAAGATAGTAACTCGTGGCCTCAAGATAGTAACTCGTAGCCTCAAGATACTCTCTCGTGACCTCAAGATACTAACTCGTGACCTCAAGATACTAACTCGTGGCCTCAAGATAGTATCTCGTGGCCTCCAGATACTAACTCGTGACCTCAAGATACTAACTCGTGGCCTCAAGATAGTATCTCGTGGCCTCAAGATAGTAACTCGTAGCCTCAAGATACTCTCTCGTGACCTCAAGATACTAACTCGTGGCCTCAAGATAGTATCTCGTGGCCTCCAGATACTAACTCGTGACCTCAAGATACTAACTCGTGGCCTCAAGATAGTATCTCGTGGCCTCAAGATAGTAACTCTAGTAACTCGTGGCCTCAAGATAGTAACTCTAGTAACTCGTGGCCTCAAGATAGTAACTCGTGGCCTCAAGATAGTAACTCGTGGCCTCAAGATACTATCTCGTGACCTCAAGATACTAACTCGTGACCTCAAGATACTAACTCGTGACCTCAAGATACTAACTCGTGACCTCAAGATACTAACTCGTGACCTCAAGATAGTAACTCGTGGCCTCAAGATAGTAACTCGTGGCCTCAAGATAGTAACTCGTAGCCTCAAGATACTATCTCGTGACCTCAAGATACTAACTCGTGACCTCAAGATACTAACTCGTGGCCTCAAGATAGTATCTCGTGGCCTCAAGATACTAACTCGTGACCTCAAGATACTATCTCGTGGCCTCAAGATAGTAACTCGTAGCCTCAAGATACTAACTCGTGGCCTCAAGATACTAACTTGAAGATACTAAGATACTAAGTATTATTATAGTATTATTACTATTCTGCCAACAATAATCTCCCAGATATGATGCTGTAATGTATAATAACGGTGACCTGATCAGATTAATAAATCCTCGTATGAATGAAAGCGTCTAAAACGGTTTGATTCAGCGGAAGATCAAACGTCATCAGTCTGAATGGAGATTTGGCGCCATCTGCTGGAAACTCAACAGACAACATTAAAACTGAGAAACGTAAACAATCATGTACTCTCTGAATCACTGAATTTATTAATAGGATTAATCATATGAGATTATTATTATCACTTATCTAAAGGCACTGGCTGGCGGCCTTTAGGGTTACTGTGCATGACAGTAACCCCGCTTTGACTGTTGAGAAGATGTGTGCTGTAGAGCTTGCATTGGTGAGGGCTCATATCAACCACAAAGTATGCGTGAGCAACCTTGAGACCTGAAATGAAAAATGAGACACCCTACTTAATAAGTAGGCTACATGAAATAATAAGTAGGCTACACAAGATTGAAAGTTATAGCCTATAGTGTCATTTTGTTTACAGCATCAATTTATATCGTTTCATTTGACACAACAAATGGATAAAGTAGCCTATTATTTTAACTTTTTAAAAACGTATCGATCCATTCAACAGAATATTAAAACAATCATCATAGATTAAATAATGTGAAAAAAAATGACACACACGATGATATTCGCCAGATACGTCACCACAACTAGCACACGGATCCCGCTAAACAAACCATCGTTTGAATGGTGACATTTGGTAACACACACAGGCATCTCGATCTAATTCCTTAGATTATCGCACCGTGATTTGTACTTTGTTGAGGGAAAATGTGTTATGCGGTGACGTCACATAGCTATGCAACGTGCTGTCTTTCTCGTTGTCTATTCAACAACTGCTAGCCAAATAATTATACAATATACTGTCAAACTCGTTAGATGAGAAATTATATTAAAAAAATTCACAGACAACATATTTTCACATTCATGCCACAATTCGGGATCAGAAAATAATTATTTTCTCTCATTCACAATTGACGCTTTTTCAGGTCCACTTGGAGTTTTACGGATAGGCGGGACTTACCAGCTCGATATAGAGAGCATACGCTTCCGGCTTATGGGACCTTATTTGAGACAACTTAACTTTTTATTCCGTCTGAACTGTGCCCTGAAGTCATTGATGTTTCCATTTAAAAGATAATTAAGTCAACAAAGTCTCAGTTTGTCATAAAACAAGAGTAACATTAAGTTTTATGTGAAAATCGCTCAATGAATTACATCTCCCGAGAAGCGGGAGCTGATTGGCTGCGGGGGTGTCCCGTATGCGCGTGCGTTGGAGGCTGATGACGTCACCGCTCGCTCGCGCCGTCTCCCTCTACCCTCGTTGAGTTTCAGCGTCGAGTCTTCTGAGGCGAGGAGAGCAGTTCACGGTATTTCTCATCTTTACACAACCATCACACACACTTTATACAGTTTGATAAAGCGACAGACTAATTTCTGTGTTGTTTTCATCGATCACAGAGATACTTGTGCGTCTTTTCTGGCGTCTTCCTTCTGAAATAAACAGTTAGTGCAGCAGCAGCGAGTCTGAGGAGAATATGGAGTTCATTCAGACCTGAGCGATTTTGTTGTTTGGTCAAGTCAAGTCAAAGTTTAAGATCTATAAAGGGAATGAATGGATCTCGATCTCAAGTGTCATACTGGAACAGATCTGCCAAATGATAGTTATTTTACTTTAATAATTTCATATACTTTACAGCCTATAATGAGCCACGCGAGACATTAAAGCAATAGCCTACTAATAAATATGTGTCCATACTCTTCGATCAATGGTGCTCTTTATTTTCAAAAGTGTTATGGTAATTTTCAGTTTCTGCGCATATAAAATGTTATTATGATATATTGATTAATGAATTAATGAAAAATGTGACTTGACTTGACTTGAATCATAAGATCAAACTATATGTAGATTAAGTTGGACACATTATGCTGCTGTAATTATTTATCTCTAGTGGTTGATGA